GTATAATGCTTTTCGTGCTGATACGAAAGGTAAAACAATTGCTGAAGTAGCACATCGAGATGCTGTTCGACATTATCTAGGTGTTACCATACAATGGGTAAATGGTGATGAAAGTCGAACTATATTATCTGAAAGAAGAAAAGCTCGAAAACAACTTAGAAATGCATTTGAACAACTTTCACCATATATAAGTACTCGTACACATTATCATCGCGTTGGATTTATCAATGAACCAATCTTTGATATTGCATATGATAGATTACAAGGCAAAAGTGAACCATCTGGTCTAACATATCTTTAAAACAATATAAATATATATATATATAGTTTTATGAATTGTATTGAACATTATTTATTTAATAAAGCATGTGTTGTATTTTAACAGTAAAATAAATTTTCTTTTGGGCAGATTATATGACTTAACCCTTGGGAAAAAGAGATAATAGTCAAAAACATCATCAGAATTGTTTTTTTTTGTTTTGAAATGATTGAGTTAATTCCAAAAAAGTTATTTGATGAAATATATATATGAAACGATACTGAAAGTAACAATTAATATTTTCATATCTCTAGTATGAGGTTATGTTTTAATAAAAAACTAATATAAATGTCTATTCTCTTTCTCGTAGAGAAGAGTCCAGCAGAAATAAATTGTTTGTTTGCTTGCTTGTGTGTCCACAGGGTCAAAAAAACATCGACGACCAATTTTTCAGAAAAGATATTTCTAGAGGTATTTCGATGCATGAACCTCGAACCTAATGTTAGTTTTTCAAATTTACTTAAAAAAAAATTTTTTGTTGTAAGATTTGACGAGACGATTTTTGAGATCGGGGAACGCGAATCTGATGTTAGTGTTTGCAAGTTATATAAGCAAAAAGGTCCCGCAGCATTGTAGAACGCGATTTCTACGAGAAAGAGCTAAGCGAGTCCTTAGACGAGCGTTACTTGTTATTATAGCTGTGAATAATCGCAATTCATTCAGATGTCAAATGTCATATAATATATGGAATTTTTCTTGATTATTTTTTATATAATCTTTTGTTAACTATACTTTCACTTGAAAAAAGATAAAGATTAAACAATATTCTTATTCGAGATTATTTTACCAAATATAATAGAAGCTGTATAAATCTATATAGATCTTGATATGTTATCAGAGGATGATTTTGATCAACTCGCAATGTTTTCTTAGCACAAACATGTTATAATTGTTATTTAATAGAAATTTGTATTAAAGAAATGTATACTACATTCGTCCGCCATTTAGACGCATTAATACAACAGCTCTCTTTCATTTATTTCTTGTCTTCTATCTGCCTTTATTTTAAAAATAGCATAAATATCATTCCAGACACATTTGAAAACAAATCAGTTAAAACTAAAGATAAATATGGATCAAGCTAACAATCAAGATTATAATGAAGATGAAGATAGAGGACCACACGTAAGTAATATAGCATAATATATATACAATAACATTTATATTTCAATTCAGAAAATTCAAAAACAAATCGATCAGATGAACAACGAAGTAAGTAATTGAAAATAAATCATAACAAATAATCTTTTTTTTCTTCAGAGGCAACGTTTACAACAACTGCACTTGAATTTATTAAAAAATATCGATACAAAAGAAGAAGAATATCAAAAATTAAGTGGAGAAGAAAAGAAAAAAAACGAAAAGGAATTGATGCACTGATCTCAGAAGAAAGTGATATAAGTAGCAACATTAAATTATGGCTTAATTTAATAGGTAATGAACGAGAACGAAACTTAATTATATTTATATTCTTGAATTTTAGAAATCGCTAAGAACAGGTTACAGGATATTAAAGAGAATCTTCCAAATGTTAATGGCTATTGATATATACTCAGGATGATGATTCCTGAAGCAGTTTTTCGTGGATTTTCGACTGCAACCCGCAGGTAAAATACCGTTTCTGGTCGAAACCATCAGGCAAATGTCAGAAATCCGATGACCGG